CGGTAGCATTGTCAGACCTGACGCCTGCAACCTCGGTCGCAAACGTGGCTAATTCTTTTGCAGCAGATTCAGGCGTCTTTGCTTCTTTGACTATATCGACAATTTCTTGATCTTCCAAGGATGCCGTCACGCCATCGGAAACAAGAACCAGGAAGCTGTATTCACTGGGGTCCATATGGGTCATGCGAATTTCTGGTTCTGCAGAGACGCCTATGCGTTTTGAGCTGATGTCGCCAAAAGACCTGGTATTTGCAAGACCGAGAATGCGCTCCTCACCGAAGCTGTCGGTCACAAAAGTCGCGGCGAAGCGACGAAGACGGGTTGCCTCGACTGGAGTGGATGGATGGTGGTTTGTGGTCAGTGGTACTGCTTTGCCATCGCTCACACGACAGAGGAGGATGCGAGTGTCGCCGCAGTGGGCTGTCACGATTGTGGCTGGAGATGCTGGATTCCAAAAGGGTGTAGGAGTTGGTGTGGAGATCAAGGCTATTGAGGCTGTGGAACCGCCTTGGAAACGAGTATGGCCGCCTATAGGACGATTGAGGACGTTGGACAGGTTTTGCGAGGCAGGCTTGGCGGGAGAGGAGAGAATGTCATTGTCGTTGAGGGGCCTGTCGCTCAAGACAGGATCGTCTGTCGAGGAAGGGAGAGAGGGCGAGTGCTTGGAAGCCTGAGCTGCAGTAAAGTCCATGTCGGCATGTAGGAAAGCATACATCAGGGTAGCTTGGATAGAGTTGACAGCGGTAGGCTGCTCGTCCGTGCTCGCCGTCGGCTTGAAGATGCTAAAGTACTGAGGACGGAAGCGCCGAAAATAGCCACCGACGGTGTCTTTCCAAGTGTTGACGAGGTTGCGTTGCAGGTCGAGAAGCTGCTTGTGGCCAATGTCGGCCTCTTTTGGCTCTTGCAGGCTGCTCTCCATGTGGAACTTGATGGCCGAGTCTTCCAGATAGGTGTGCAGTCGGTCTCTCAAGAAGTCGGCGCATTGAGCACCGCCGTGGCCATCAAAGACACCAAAGTAGAAGACTTGTGGATCGCCGCTTTCGCTGGCAGCGCCAGTCTCTTGCAGAGGCCTGTTTGCGCGGGTCAAGCTGACGGGCTGGCGTTTGGCAAAGGCGGGTATCTCGATGGTACCGGCTTGGTGCGTGTCCTCGTTGTGCGGACGGCCTCCGCGCAAGCAAGAGACGCCATAGTGGTGTTTGGCCGACTTGAGGGGAATCCTCACGACGGTCGTGTCGCGTCCTATGGGCGACAGGGTGGCGGGCTGTCTACCGGAAGCCCGGTCGTGAGGGGCGGCAACATCTCGCGGAAGCTTGTGGTTCGAGTCCGGGTGCAGCGACGATTGCGGCAGGTGCGTGACAAAGTAGTCGTGGAAGCAGCGTCGCCATGACCGCGTCGGCAATGAACATGGTCTCATACTGGCATGGCAATGCACAAGGCGGCGGATTCACGACATGGTCGGTGTATACATGTGAAGTGGGACAAGGAGCCATCGACTTTTGTTCAGCACCAGCCTCTTGCAAACGCGGGCACGGCGGAGAAATGGACCATCATCATCCGCATCCGCGCCCGCATCATCAATGATCCCGCCAAGCCCTCTCCATACCATTTCTGTTTCCCGCCAGTCCGGTGACGTCTCCCTTTCCGACCACCTCGATATGCCATGTCCATTGTCTGCATTGTCGTGTTCAAATCACAATTACTGGGAAGCGCCGAATCGAGTTGAAGATGATGGTAGACCTCAGTCTTTCAATTAGAACATGAGCCGCCAAACAGCAGGCCCCTACACAATAAACATAACTTGAACAACATCCATTTCCCAAACTCCAGAATCCATTCCAGTCATCTTTTTCCCTGTTCATGATACGAAAATAGTGGGGGTGAGGAGGACCTAAGCTCAAAGCCATATCCAAAACTTACTCTGACCTTTTGTTCCTACAGCAAGAAAAAGGAAGAAGGTCATGTTCTTGTCGGGCTCGACGCACCGTACAGCTTATCTGATGGTGGTAGTCTTGGTGAGAGATGCCTTGGCCGAGGCAGCGCCCGATGCGCCAGCAGAAGAGGCACCAGCCTTCTTCTCAAACACCTTCCAGAACTTCAGAGACTCGTCGGCAGCCGCGGTTGCGAGCATCTGACCGTCAGGAGACAGGCAAGAGTGAAGCACACGAGACTCGTGAGCGGGGATTTCGACGTTCTTGACCAGAGTAGGGTAAGACCAGATGCTCAGCGAGTTGTCGGGGAAGCCAGACGAGCTGACGAGCTCCTTGTACGAGGTGCTCCACTTGAGAGAGGTAACTTGGCTGCCAGTGTCGATGCTGTTGGTGCGGGCGCCAGAGGTGGTGTTCCAGAAGTGGATCATGCGGTCGTGAGAACCACCACCGGTAGCGAGGAGGTTGGATTGCCAAGGGCACCAGGCAAGAGCCTTGACGGCAGCCTTGTGGTTGGTCTTCTGGAACTTGGGTGCGTTGAGCGAACGAGCATCCCAGATGCTGACGAGGTTGTCGTTGCCGCCAGTGGCCAACTGAGCACCATCAGGGCGCCACTCGAGACCGCAAACCTCGCCAGTGTGCGAGACGAGCTCAGCGACCTTGTGCTGGGCGATGCGGACATCGTGGTTGTAGACGAGGCCGGAGCGGGCACCGGTGGAAAGGAGGTGCTTGTTCCAGCCCATGACACCAACGCGGGTGTCGTGGCCGAACATGCTGCGGAGCTTGGAGCCCTCCTCGACGTCCCAAATCTGGACCTCGCCCGTACCGAGACCAGCAGCGACGTAAGCACCATCCTGACTCCACTTGACAGACGAGATGTACGTGTCGGCAGGGCACTCGAGGAGAGAGTTGACCTCGCCAGACTCGGCAGACCAAACGTAGACCGAACGCTCGAGACCAATGGCAACCTGATTGCCCGAAGACCAGTCAAGAAGGTTGAGGTAGTAATCATCAACAAGGCCAGGTGCGTCAAGGACGCGCTCGGGGGCGGTTGCGACACGGCGACGGAACTGGGTGGCAGCGGCAGCAGGCTTGAGGGGACGGTTGTACTGCGAGCGCAGGTCAATGGGTCTGGAAGACTCGGGAGCGGCAGGCTTGAAGGCGAGGATTCTCTGGCCGAGCGAGATGTCGCAGGCCTTGGCAATCTCGTCCTGGTAGGCGGCAGTCTTGGGCGAAGGCTTGTTGTATGTCTTCTCGTCGTCGTCATCGTCCAGGTTCAGGCCATCAAGGCCGAGGGCAGCATCAATCTCATCGTCATGGGTCGAACGTCTGCCAAGGTCAAAGGCGGAAGAGGCAGAAGCGGCACCTGCGAGAACAGACTCGGCCGAGGACTTTGAGCGAGAGTGGTCCTTCTTCTCAATCTTGTTGACACCAGAGTTGGTGATGGCGTCCGAGTTGGTGCGGCTGGGGATGAAGCGGTCAGCCGAGGTGTAGCTGATCTTGGTCTTTCCAGTCTTGACCGTCTTGAGGTTGCGAGTTCTCGAGGGAGTAGCCTTGTTGGAGGCTGAAGGGCCAGTGCCGGTCAGGTTCCAGTCGCTGACGCCGAGCTCAAGACGGCGAGGAGAGTTGTTGGCGACATGTCTGGCAATGTTGGACTTTGGCGAGTCGCGGACGTTGGTCTTTGAGATGGAGCGCGAGAAGCGGGGGAAGAGGTTGCCGCGGTGGATCGACTCGTCCTTGTCGAGCACAAAGTTCTGCTGCTTGGGAGTCTGAGGCGAGGGGGTCAAGGGGGCGCGGCCACCAGCGAAACGGGTCGAGAAGAGACCATCACGACGCTTGATGGGCGTCATAACCGAAGGGCTTGCCATATCTGCGGCAATGTGTGTGTGTTACAGAAAGTGATGCTGTCTGCAAGAGCCGTTAGATAAGAGATGACAGCGGAATGGTGGAGAGAGCAGCGTACAGATGTCTCAATTAAGAGCTCCGTTAGTATGGATGCAGATATCTTGCAGTCGTCGTGGATGGTAGAGGGATAAGAGGATGATAAGAGTGCTTCTTAGGAAGCTTTTGGATAAAGTGGAATGCTGTTTTTGGGTTTGTGGTGTGAGGTGAGGATGTATGGAGGATGGTCGAGGGAGTGGTGCCCTTTATGGCTGTCTGCTTACAAGTGCAAACAAAGTTGGCCCAGCAACGGCACAGCGTCATTGTCGGCACACGGCGTTAAAGACGAGACGCCCGACGACGCCAAGTTTGCTGTTGGGACGACGACGGCGGCAGACTAAATTTATTTGCCGTCTGTTCACCAGCCTGTCTATTCAGAAATCCGCATCTGGCCCGTCTCATTGCGACCAGACAGGCACTGTGCTGTGCATAGCCTGCTTCCAAGACACAACGCTCTTGTGCAGTGCGACAAGGGTGGTCAAGACCGACCAACGAGAATGAGATAGACTAGTCGACGACGATATGGCTTCATCACTTTCGAATCTCTCGGCTGCTTCTCTACCGCCGTCGTCGCGTCTATCCACTGGTTCCACCAACACCTATGTCATGTCCACCTCTCCTAGGTCAAGCCGCACCTACTCGTCGCGTCGCCGTACTCACGACACCTATATGCCTACCATCATGACTACTGTGGGCCAGAGGCCTGCTTGTCTCGTGAATGCTTCCGTCACCTATGTCGGCAACGACCAGATCTATGCTTTCGGCGGCTTCGATCAATATACCGACGAAGTCTACAACCATGTTCTCAGGCTGGACCTGCAGGCCAAGCAGTGGAGTCTGGTCGACAACTACGGCGACATTCCTGGCGTGCGCATGGGTAAGCTTGACACTCCCATCACAATCCCTTGCTTGTGCTGATGTCCGGAATANGGCCATACTGCTTGTCTCTGGCAGAACGAGAAGCTTCTTGTATTTGGTGGAGAGAACGAACACCGCTCTCACCTTGCCGACGTTATCATCTTCGACCTCAAGACCGCCCATTGGACCTCGCCCGAAGTACAGGGCATCCCTCCCCGCGGAAGAGCCAGACACTCGGCCGTCATCCATGAAGACAAGCTCTTCGTCAGCGGCGGTATGACTGGCCACGACAATGCTGTGCTAGATGACATTTGCTACCTCGACCTCAAGACCTGGACATGGTCGCGACCCTGGAAGTTTGTGCCTAGATACGACCATTCAACATGGATCTGGCGCGACAGACTCTGGGTGTCGGGAGGCATGACCGAAGACATGGAGCGTACGAGCGACATTTGGTGGCTCGATCTCAAAGGTATCCCTGCTTTCGAAGGTGCCAATTCAGCCGACGACATGTCCAGGTCCTCTATGTACTCTACAACTTCCATCACCCCACAGGCAGGTTCCACGGGCGCCTATGCTGCAAATTCAAGCAGTGTCCAGGTAAATCCCGGCTACATGGTCCAACGCAACCCACCCGTCGCGCCAGGCTCCATCTCTTCTCTTCGCTTCATCTCAAACCCCAACCTCCCTGTACAAAATGTAGGATATCATTTCCATGTTTTCTCTTCCGCATGCTTGCTCGACTTTGTCACCCCTGCGACACTCATGTCTGCATCCGAGACTAGCCTTTCAGCATTTGATCTGGATTCTTTGCGTTGGCAAAAACTAGCTGATGGAAAGGACATTTTCAATCCGAACTACCGCTGGCATTACTGCTGTCTCGATGCAGATGGCACGCATGCCTGGCTGCTTGGATGTCCCAATTCACTTCCCAGAAATGCCCCTGATGCCGAGGAATATCTCAGTGATGTTCTTCACCTCGACCTCAGAAAGCTTGGTCTCCTTGGTAACAAGCTCACTCTAGAGTCTAGATCGGTTCAACAGACGCCGACTTCTGACAGCCGAGTTTCTTCGCACCTCTCCGCTATTGGCGCTGATCTTGCCCGTACGTTTGACGTTCCTCCTGAGCAAGGCTCCGGTGCAGATTTCATGATTACGGCCAATCCGGACGATGACTACGACCAGGACTATGATGGAGACAGCGTGAGGTCTCACGAAAAGCCTGCGAACGCATCCCAGCCCATCCATGTCCACCGCTTCATCCTCTCAGCACGCTGGCCTCATTTTGCTCGCCTCTACAGTGCTCAGATGTCCGAATTCCATACAAAGAAGATGCACATTCCAGAGCCATACGCAGCGGTACGCGCCTTCCTCTACTACCTGTACACCGACTCAATTGCGCCCTCGTCCATCACAAATTCCGCATCTCCATCGCCCAGTCTCGAAGACGTGGCAGGTATGCTTGTCATGAGCAATATCTATGACATGCCACGCCTGCATCATCTTTGTGTCGCAAGATTGGTCCGTGAGCTCGATATTCAGCACGCTGCTCTCATCTTCGATTGCGCAAGCGTTGCTCAAGAAACTTGGCTCAAACGTCGTGCAGCCAGTTTCTGCATGACACACTGGGGACGTGTGGTGCGTACGGAGGGATTCCGACGACTATCGCGTGCCGCCATGCTTGAGCTTTGCGAGGAGGTGGATGCTGAAGGTCGAGTAGTCGGTGGAGACGAGCTTGAAGCTGTCGGGGCTCTTGGAGGTGCAAGACTCAGCACTCTTAGCAATTGGCCCGAGGGTAGAAAGAGGAGAATGAACTCTGAAAGCGGACTCATGGAAGAGATTGCTGACGAAGAAGAGGACGAGGGCATGGAGGTTAATTAGTTGGTGAACCTCGCTCTTGATTCAGATTGAGCTACGATTGACGACGGATATTTCTATTCGAGCATGTACATATTTTGGGCGTTGGTTCATGGCGTAACATGGCTATTAGCTTACGCTTTATCACAGAAGAAACCCCAGGGAAAGGGTCCATAGGCAGGCACCACGGCGTTCAATCCAGTACAGAATCAATCAGATATTTGCTGTTCTTGTCAATTAAATTCGTGGCTATGCACTTGGTTGAGCTCCTGGCAGAATGCACGACGCATGACAGGTCTAGAAGTGGATCTCAAAACGGCTGGCTACGGAACAAAGCCCATCTCGTGACCATCAAGCACACCGCACCACAAGATTGGAATCAATATTTGAGCGAAAAGAACAGAATGCTCTTGGCATGATTCATCTACTTCTAAAGCGCAGGAACCAGGGGGTTGGCGTCGGTAGAGGTCGACTCGCAGATGTAAACAGAAATGCGCGTTCTCTACGTCGATCTTTGTCGACGTGTCTCGTTGTCTGACAAGGCAATTGTGATCGATTCGACGCGTATCTTGATACGATGAAGCTGGCAGACAGTCATAGTAGAGAAGACGTCCTAAATCAAGACGATGCCATCAAGTGAAGCCCAATGAAGAACAAAGACGTGTCTGGTTCTGGCGCCTGAGAGTTGGAAAGTTCCAGTTCTCGAGCAGCTCTCGGCGGTGATTGGCTCCGTCATTTCGGCTGGTTGACAACCGCTCCTCCCCAACTTCGCCCATCACAAGTGCCCCCTCGACTTGTTTCCTCCACAAACAGCACCGCTTCACCTCTTTCCGCCCAAAACTCGCCCTTTCTACACCTTTACGCTTTCCCAAAGGTAAGAACCTCCACCGTCTGCACCGTGTACACACAGGTCGAGCCAGAATGCGAGCGAACACGGATACCCCCTGCTGAGTGCTTGATGGACGCGTGGCTGGGCAAACACACCGGGAAACAACGACACGGCGCAAGGCAAGCTCTTTCAGCAGCTGCTATCGATGAGATCGCGACAAAGAAGGCGCTCCAGAGTGAAGAAGGCGCCATCCAGAAGCTGTTCTGGATGATGCGCTCATGACAATACCCGCCTACCTCCGAACCTTCAGAGCTTTCGCCAGCGTCGCGACTGCCATCACAACCAATTGGCACGAGCTGTCTGCACTTTCCCATCTCCTGCGACCCGTCACTGTGTTTGCCCACGACAGATCATCACATGCCAGCGACTTGTGGACCCGTCTGCTTTCACACCGCCCCTGGCTCGCTCGTTCCCCACTTTCACAGCTGCCTCTGATTCACAGCTTTACCGTATCCTCCGACAACATATCCTGTTCCAACCAGAAACGCTAACACCATGTCGCACCAGACTTCATATCACAAATCATCAAAAATGGGTTACGAGGACTCTGTCTACCTGGCCAAGCTCGCCGAGCAGGCCGAGCGCTATGAGGGTAAGTCCACCATCTATCGTCTGCAGCATGCGCATCGCTAATGTCAGTTCNNAGAGATGGTCGAGAACATGAAGAACGTTGCTTCCGCCGACCAGGAGCTCTCTGTTGAGGAGAGAAACCTCCTTTCCGTCGCCTACAAGAACGTCATTGGTGCTCGCCGTGCATCCTGGAGAATCGTCACCTCCATCGAGCAAAAGGAGGAGTCCAAGGGCAACGAGCAGCAGGTCACTCTCATCAAGGAGTACCGCCAGAAGATTGAGGCCGAGCTCGCTCAGATCTGTGAGGACATCCTTGCCGTTCTTGACAAGCACCTCATTCCTTCTGCCCAGAGCGGCGAGTCCAAGGTCTTCTACCACAAGATGTTCGTGTCCTCAGGCCATCTTTGAGTTAAATCGCACTACTAATGCGCTCTGCAGNNGAAGGGTGACTACCACCGCTACCTCGCCGAGTTCGCCCTTGGTGACAAGCGTAAGACCTCTGCCGACAAGTCGCTCGAGGCCTACCAGAACGCCACCGAGGTTGCCCAGACCGACCTTGCCCCTACCCACCCCATCCGTCTCGGCCTTGCCCTGAACTTCTCGGTCTTCTACTACGAGATTCTCAACTCGCCCGACAAGGCTTGCCACCTCGCCAAGGCCGCCTTTGACGATGCCATTGCTGAGCTCGACACTCTTAGCGAGGAGAGCTACAAGGACTCCACCCTCATCATGCAGCTCCTTCGTGATAACCTGGTAAGCATTCCTCGATGCTCGTCTCACTTTCGTATCAGCCACTAACTCTTTCACTAGACCCTCTGGACCTCGTCCGAGACTGAGCCTTCGGGTGACGCTGCCCCTGAGGCCAAGGAGTCTGCTGAGGCACCCGCTGCCACCGAGGAGACCAAGGCATCCGAGTAATCGCAGTCAAACATACCAAATTCCTTCCATTTTGTTGAAAATGGCGGATCACGTTATCATGGCAAATGTGAACAGTCAAACCCAGGTGTTGTCTCTTTCTAACAGAACTCGATCATGGGGCGGGCCAAGGAGAGATGGTTCTTTTTCTTTTTTCTTTTTTCCTCTCAAGTCGATTTTCTTGTTTCTTAACNCCCCAAGTCTCTTATCCTCTCCTTTGCACGGTATCTCGACGGTCTTCTGAAAGACTCCTCTTGGGCCGTTGCGCGTGGGAGAGTGGCNNGCGGGTGAAATTTGGGGATGGGCGCCCAACAGTCAATTGAAATCATTAGATTCCATTTCACTACCTATCGTCTTTCATTGTCTGTTCATACGTGCTGCATGTTGGTGCCGGTGCTAGAGTAGAGCCTGGTCAGGTACACAACCAAGCAGGCTCTTCGTGTTGTGTGTACTCGCTGCTTCGAAGGAGAGTTCTTCTCGCATTTGTGTGACCATAAACAGTAATGTTTCTGGCTCCCCTCTCCAGGTACGGCAAATTTGAGCGCGAAGGGAAACATCTTAGCGAAAAGGTCAACATCAGGAGGTTTGAGGGGATGATGGGGGGGGGGGGGGGGGGGGGACGGAGACGTTCAGAGTGTTGGATTGAGGATACGGTCAAGGTCAAGTATTTGACTTTGTTGTCCCTGTTGACAGGGAGGGAGGAACAAAAGGGACGCTTGTAAAGGTCGAGGGTGTGGCTTTGATCTCCAGTTTAGATATGTTGGCTGAAAGTAGACTATCAGAATACATGATTCATTTCTTCCTGGATTACGGTGACTAGAGAGGAGAGCCTTGTACCATGTTCATCTCAAGGATCACCACGAGTCATCTCAATGGGCCTTTTCTCCCTTTTGACTTCTCTTCTTGTACATTTGTAGCGGAGTTGCTATGAACTGAATGCTTGGAGATCGTTCGATTTATCTGCAGGTCAAGCAACCTCCCTTTTGCATCATATCCCTTCTTGTCTCTCTGCTGTAAACGCCTTTATGTGAAACTGTTGTAACACTACGTCTGACGACACTCACATCCGGTCAATCACTCTGAGAATACCAGAACTCTTCCCTTGATGATGAATCTAGGTAAAGACCATCAGACATCATCATCATCATCACCATGAACACTCAAGCAAATGAGGAAATGAGATGGTCTAAATGTTACACTTTGGAATTCGTTTCTTCTCGTGATTCCTGTTATTACTGAAGAGGACTCAAAGAAGAAAGAAGAGGGACTAAACTAGCTAATACTTCAACATTGCCCCCTTTCTTCATACCTTCGCTCATGAGCACAGTCGGCATCCGTTAAAGGCTCAAAACAAGTATGATGCAGGTTCAAAAAGACGAGACGAGAAGACCAGCGAAAGCAGGACCTGACACTTACCATGCTCTGTGTAAACTCATGGATCGTCTGCGAGCCTCTGATTCCAACGCGGTCTCCTTTGCTCTTTCTCCTTCCATGCTCAGCAGACAGTGCAAAAACACAATAGTTGCAAACAATGCACGCTTTCTCTTTCTCTCCCTCCCCTCGTAGAATCTTCCTCCCGTGCCGCCGATGCGATAATAAAACAGATGTGCCTCCCCATGAGAAGGTATAGAACGCCCCCAGAAAAAAACAGACAATAATCAAATAACATAGAATCTTGTCTCGTGTCGAACTCTTGACAACCATCCATACTCGTGGCTGATCGATGAATCCAGTGGTGTGGTTAAGTATATTGATCGATATTGGTCAACGAGTGGTTGCCCGTGGAACACCTAGTGCGCGGTGTCGTGTGTGCAAGTCGTCTCTGGTGAAATCTCACTTCAGAGGACGTTCCAGCTGGTTCAGCAAATCGTCCAGTTGCGACCAGTTTCCTTTGTCCATTGCAAATTTGCGGTGCTTGCGTGATTGACAGTGGGCGTCAAAGTCGTCGAACTTGTCTCTGCAGTTCTCACAGTATCCTGCCTTCAACTCGCGTTCTACAACCACCTTCTTGCGAACCTGCTGAGCGCGACGAGATTTAGTTGGCTCCTCTTCACCCTCTTCACGAATGTGTCCTAAAGTCTCTTGTGCCTTGCGCTTGGCCGCTCTTGGTGCTTGTTGACGGTCTCCATTTCCGTTGATCGCTGCGCGCATATCGGTAAGATACGACGATTGGAGTGGCTCGTTGGAGTTCGCGCTAGCTCCCCTCTCCAAGGCTCTGCGCTTCAGTGCCGTAATCTCCTTGCTCGCGCCGACATTACGAGTTCCGGGTGCCGTCGAAGAAATCGTCGATGAAACAATCTGTGAGCGGATGGCGGATGTGATGTTCGAAGGTTGTACTCCGGATGCGACGGGTTCTCCTCCGATGAAACGAGGAGCTCCTCTCATGTTGGCCTGGGTACTACCGAACAGTGCTGGCATGCTACCAGTATCCATTGATGTTTGCCTTTTGTTAGGAATGCCCTTTGGAGGGTCCAGAGGCTTCACATGGTCATCGTTGACGACTTCAGGCTTGTCCTTGTCTTGACGCTCTACCTGCTCCTTTGGCTGGGATGTGGTGGACTGAGAGAGGCTGGTGCCTGCTGCAGCGCGACTGCGCGTGACAGGGACGCCAGCGGCCAGCTTGCGTTCCTTCTCTGCCTCGGCGGCCTTCATCTCTTCTGCCAAGCGCAGCTTCTTGGTGTGTGAAGGATCTTCTACGAAGGGACATCTTCCGATAGGGGTCAGACGGAACTGTGGCCACTTGCCCTCCTCCTTATGGGTGACCTTGGGGTAATCACGAACCATGACCGGACGGGTTCTTTCGTCCATATCGTGCACGTAAATATAGTATCCTCGGAACTGGACAGAATCCTGAGCAGCAACAGCCAGATCACGGTCGGCAGGACCAATGACCTTTTCGTTTCGCAGAAGTGTCTGCAGGTCTGCCTTCTCTCCTCTACGCAGGGTCGAAGCAATGTTTCTTCTATGATCAGGTTGCTCGCCAGTGTCAGTATCAAACATGGTTGTCATCATACGCTGCAGCTTCTCCAGAGCCCAGATCTTGATACCAAGTTCTCTAGCCTTGGACAAGACATCGTTGCTTTGGACGCCGAGCTTGCGTGGCTCGACGGTTTGAAGACTGTGGGTGAATGGGTTAGCAAGGGCAGCGATACGGGGTGAGTGGAATGCGATAGTATACCTTTGGGCGTTAGAATTATGGGTGCGGCCCTGCAGGCTAGCCTCGAGAAGGTCAGCGGTCTTCTTTTGAGCACCAGTCAGGTTTGAATCTTGAGGACGATCAAGGAGAGAAGGGTCGATGGTCCTTAGGGAGGCATGGTGAGAGTCGTTCTTGGAGGTGCTATGACCATCGTCAAAACTTGTCGAGGCAAGCTCTGGAGGAATGGGACGGGTCGTGACCACATGAGTGACAGAACGCGAGAAGAACTTTTCCTCTTTNNCTGTCGAGCATAGTCAGCATAGTGTTGTGGTCATGGTAGAGGAGGAGGGAGGGAGGGAGGGAGGGAGGGAGCATACGGCGCCAAGATATTGAATCTGCCTCGAAACCTTTGTCCGGACATCATCGGGTACACTTTCAAAGTAGAAGACGAACTGAGGAAAAGCCTTTCGGTAGTGCCGTTGCCATTGACGGATGCTCTCGAGACTGTCGGCGGTTCTCTGTAGGGGCTTTTGTGCAGATGGAGGCTTCCTTGCGGCAGCCAATTTCCTTTCAAAGGCCGTGGGAGGAGCGTTGCCAGGTTTTCTCAGGAACAGTTGTGCATCCTTCTCTTGCTGTGCCAACGACTGACGGATCAAAGAACGCGGTTGTTGGTTCTCATCGTGGTCGAGGTCGAGGACTTGCTTCTTCAGAGGAGGCTGGCCAGCGTCACGCGGGTCTTGTTGTCTTGAGCGCTTGCCAGAGACGGGATTGACGGAGCGGAAAGGAGAGTTGACGGCATTCGAGTTGTTGGCCAGCGGGAGCCGCTTGCTGGACATGTTGGACAGAGCCGAGAGGGTGGCCATGTATGGGAGGGGTGGTGCTGGCGCTGTCTCTGTGTGTGGACGGCTTTGCACGCGACTCGGACGCGCTCTACTGGCACATTGTCGCAGCGCTGTCGAGCTAGCAAGAGAGAGGGGGCTGGAGGGTCAGTCGAGCACAGTTGGTCAAACACAGGAGAAGAGAAAGGAGCGAATATGGACAGAGAGANGCAGTTGCAAACGCGACGAGCGTGGATGGATGTGGATGTTTTGATGTGTGCATGCTCTTTCCCTGCAATCGAGGCTCCGTCCGAGCTTCNGCGTTCGAGCGACTCGCTGTATGCACAACTCCCCGCACAACTTGTTTCTCTGTCTTGCGCCCTCAAACACCCTCTATTCTGTTCTATTGCCCTACTTCCATTCCTGACGATAGCCTGATGGTGACCTCGATCTGTTCTGCCTCTGTTTTGCTGTGTCTGCCTTCCTGCGCCGCAGCATTGCACATGTCCACAACTTGTCACTTAAAAGCCTATCTGCATGCAGCCCCCGGCAACTACATCATTCTGCACTAATTAGGGCCGTACAAATCTTAGCGCGTTCCACTTCTTTTATTTTGTTGGTAAACATCCCCTAACGCCTGAGCGCTTCGATATCAACAACCTCCTTTACTGCCTCTGTTGTCAACACATAAGGATGCTCTTCTGTTATGCACACGCTGTCTTCAATCCGGATCGCCAATCCTTGGAAGTGCTTGGGCCATCTCTCGTCTTCTGGAACATAGATTCNCTCTGTCAACTGTTAGCTGCAGAACGCCGAATCACTAGTCCTCCACCTAGTTACTCACGGTTCGATCGTGATGCACTCTCCCGCTGTCAGTCGTCCTGTTCTAGGATGTCCAGGAGCATCGTGAACATCCAGACCAATAAAGTGCCCAACATGGTGAGGGAACAATATCTCGAGAGCCTTTATATGTTAGCATCGCATCCCAATCAGAGTATCGCCGTCACGACTCACGTTGCCTTCCATGTTAAATCCTAGACACTTGAGTCCGTCGCGCAGTCCATCCTCGGTAATACGGTGAAGCTTGTCGAGCGACAGATCTGCGTCCTCGCGACACAGCGACACCACGCTTCGTTGAACCTTGAGTATCATCTCATACAAATCCCTTTGCGGGTCTGTGAATCTGCCATTGACTGGCCATGTACGTGTAATGTCGGTGATGTAGCCACCGTACTCGCCGCCAGCATCGACCAGTACGAGCTCGCCCTCNNTCTGCGTCGCTTATCAGTATAGAATCCACTTGCTTACTCTTCAAACGTACTTGAGAGTCTGGTCGTTACGAGTGTAATGGATGCTCAAACCGTTCTGCTGCCTGTTAGTACTGCTCTGTCTGTGACTGAATGTCCAACATACCTTGCCGCCAGCAACAACGGGCACGTAGGCAGAGCCATCCAAGCCACCAATCTTGAAGCCAGTGTCGAGCATGGTCCAAAGATCCTTCTCAGTGCCCATAGGTGTTTTCATGGTCTCGGTGAATGCTCGACCAGACACCTGACCAGCCTTTCTCATATTCAATATCTCAGCCTCACTCTTCTTTACGCGAAGGTTGTTCATGATGGGTCTCAGCGGCCTAACATTGTTCTCCTGCAGCAATTTGCCAAATCCTTCTGAAGGGACCTTCTTCAAGCTTGAGAAATATCTCTTGAAAGCAGACTTTGTGGTGGTGCCGAGCAGATCGGTGTAGACTTCTTTTGCGCGGCCGATGATGTCTGGTAGAAGGGTATGGCAACGATTGATGTCTCCAGNCCTGGGTGATGATCAGTATGAGATGAATATGGAGAAGGGAGACCTGCATACCTCGTCAGCATTGAAGACGTCCAAGGCAGCCTGGATGCCGCTTCGAGCACCATCCCATTGTTCGGCCTTGATGTCCTTGGGTCGGACGAAGAGATGGAATGTGTATTCGACGTCAGATTCACCCTTTTCNNTGCAAAGCCATGAGCGGGTATTCTTGTTGTATAACATGTTTGAGACGCACCCACCAATAACAGCAAGTGCTTCGGGTTCGTTGAAGCCTGTNNGTAGCGATTGTTCAGCATCCATCTCTTTGGGCCGGACGGGTGACTAGTGGTTACCAGTCAAGTAGAAGAAATTCGGTTCCTGGTGGAACTCGTAGAAGACGGCACCGGAGCGGTACTTGATGTCGGAGGAAGCGAGGACGGCGATGCTGTTCTTTGGGAGGGCTTTGGCGAGGTTTGCGCGACGCTGGTGGTACTCGAGAGCAGAGATTCCGGGAGTCACNNTGGGTTGAGTAAGCATGTGGCCAGTAAAGTGCTTGAAGGATTGGGGAGGACTACAGTCGCCCGGCGCAATGAGATGCGGATGAGTCTCATGCAAAGGCTGGCCAAACTGCAGTTCGGCAGCCGAGACGAGAGTGCGGCGAGGAAGCTGTGCTAGACATGACGGCCTCGCAATCGAGAGGACTGGTCCTGGTCGGGGTCTCGACGCAGCTCTCAGCAAAGTGCGACAGCTCCTCATGCTTGGTCCTGATGTCTGTCAAAGGTTGTGACGACTCGGGCGAGGGCTAAAGTTAGACGACGACCCTGGCCCAGGGCACGGGCAGCCATAACCTTATTTGCAGATTGCGGGGATCTTCTTCGTACGTCACTCGTCGTCTTCGTTCGTGTCCTTGGTCCATAGCGCGCCTGGATCTTGACATTCGTACTCCAGACACTTGTCGCATACTCGATCCTAGCATCAATCTTCGCTCGCCAAAGTGTCGGCAGGACGGCTACGGAAAATGTCTTCGGACATTGAAAGCTTCACGGCTCACCTGCAGTCGTCGAAACGCATCTTGGCCTTGCTCGGTGCCGGACTGTCGGCCTCTTCTGGACTGCCTACCTTCCGTGGTGCCGGAGGCCTTTGGAGGACTCACGATGCCATCTCTTTGGCCACTCCCGAGGCCTTTGGTCGGGATCCAGCCCTCGTCTGGCAATTCTACAGTTACCGCCGCCATATGGCGCTCAAGGCGAAGCCAAATCGAGCCCACCTCGCTCTGGCCGAGCTAGCTAAGAAGCACCCAGGCTTCATTGCTCTCAGCCAGAATGTTGACGGTATGCGCCACCCCTCCGACCAACTTCTGTCAGACTAACGTCTTGGCCCAGGCTTATCGCAACGTGCGAGACACCCTGCAGATAAGCTCCAGCTACTTCATGGCAGCCTGTTCAACGTCAAATGCACCTCCTTCTACTGCTCATACCACGCCGAGAACTTTACGGACCCCATCGTACCCGCCCTCAGGATACCCCTCGACGAATCAGATCCCACCACAAAAGAGGCTCGCCATGCAGTATCGCAAAATCACAAAGAGGCGGATATAGCAGATGCACAAGTCCATCTACCCTCTGTTCAAGTAGCAGACCTACCGAAATGTCCAGAGTGCCATGAAGGTCTTTTGCGTCCCGGCGTCGTCTGGTTCGGCGAGTCTCTTCCGAGCAAAGTACTCAACGCGGTCGACAGTTTCATCAACGACTCGACAAAGATTGATTTGATATTCGTCATTGGAACAAGTGCCAGTGTCTATCCCGCTGCTGGCTATGTTGACGAGGCCAGAGCCAAAGGAGCCAGAGTCGCTGTCATCAACGCCGACCGCGCAGATGAGCCAGCCGGAGGTCTCACAGACAACGATTGGTTCTTTGAAGGTGACGCTGCCCAGATTGTTCCCGACATCCTGAAGACCATCATTGGAGAGGTTGAACAACCAATTGGGATGCTATAGCCACGTTTTGCTCTGGACACACGATTGCATGAACATCCTGACGGCCGTTTCTCAAAATTACGAAGCATCGATACGCTGTTGGGTTAATCTTAATTACTTCCTTCTCACATATGCGAAAGACAGTCACGAATTCACGATCGCCGACTCCCTTCCACACTGACACATAGTGTTATCATATGTTATGAGATTGCACAGTTGCTTGCTAAGTAGATGTGTGACCATGGAAATGCCCAAGGTTAACGACTGTGTATTATCATTGGATGTCCTAGCTCGAGAGCACCTCGTCCAACACCTTTACGAACTGCTTGATCTCGTCCTCTGTGTTTTGTTAGCTCAGGTTTCCAACAATCGCATGAGTCAAGGACTTACCGGTGTTATAGTGCACAAGACTGACTCTGATGACACCGTCCACGGGATCTAAACCCATGACTTCTTGGACCAAGCGGTTCGAGTAGAAAGCACCCCAGCGGAAGCCAAAGTTGCTCTTTGCCTCAACCGCCTCAACGACCTCCTTACTGCTGCGTCCGTCGACAGTCCAACTGATCACAGGAACACGCTTTGCAGCGTCTGCCACAGGCTCACCCCAGATCTTGACATCGCTTCTCGAGTTGAGGTAATCGATTAGAATGCCTTGCAACTTCTCCTCGTGACTAGCAATTGTCCCCCAAGGAATCTGCGATAGATACTCGCACACCTTAGGGATAGAAGCAGTGAGTTCATAGTTGGCAGCCGCGAGTCCGAGCTTATCTTCCAACGAAGCCGAGCCCTTGAAGAAGTGACCCAGTGTCTTCATACTCGATTGACTCGATTGCTTTGCATACAGCATGGCGATATGTGGGCCATAGACCTTGTACCATGAGAAGCAGTAGAAATCGACGTCCAACTCTCGCATATCCACTTGTCTGTGCGGTGCGTAAGCTACTGCATCTACGCACAACAGAGCACCGGGTACGGTGTGCACGGTCTTGGCAATCTGCTTGATGTCGCTGATGGTGCCGAGAATGTTGCTTGTGTGTGTACAGCAGACCAACTTTGTCTTGTCTGAGAGCAGAGTCTTCAGGATAGACGTTTCCAGCTTGGGGTTCTGCTTGTCGGGCGCGTCCCACCATTTAACGGTTAGATTTCTCCACTCGGCCATCTGTAGCCATGAAGCTATGTTTGCCTCATGGTCCAGCTTGGAGAGAATGATCTCTGATCCGGGCGTAAGATGTTCATAGAGTGCCAGAGAGAGGTTACGGAACAATTGAGTTGTTGAAGGGCCGAGTANCTTGTATGGAATCAGCTTTCCAACATGAGTTTCATGCCGTCTTCCATAATGCTTACCAACTTCATCCGAAGTAGCGTTGATGTACTTGGCCACTGCATCTTTACCTGCAGCGAACAAGTTCGTCGACTTTTGAGCGATGGGGTACGAAGCACCCAACTGCACATTTGTGCCAGACAGATATTCGGATACCGAATCGATCACTTCCTGGATGACTTGACTTCCACCAGCATTGTCAAAGTACACTTGCTTCTTGTCCAAAGCGGGAAAGTGCTTGCGAAGAGCCGTGACGTCGAATGTTGAAGCCATGTTTTCGGAATTTCCAGATCAATGAGGTATAGCTTGTTAAAATGATTAGGTTTCCGGTATGTGTGATCAAATCCACAGCTGTTATCACGAATGTCTACCCAGACGCCCTACTGACGATCACTGTTGTCCTCCTTCCTTGTCAGCGGCAAAGCTTCGGTATCGTGCGGCGTCTCGGCAATAGATGTTCCATGAGAGCGACAACATCGACCACAGCACTCGAGTCTTTCATAGACCTATTTTGATTCGTTACATATTGGTCATTGGCTGCTGATGGATATAACAGCAAGAGATCTCAAGTTCCTGACGATTGGTGCCGTGGCGTCTGTGGGACTTACTGCTCTCTTAACCTCACAGTACCACAGTAACATACATAAACCCTGTCGGATCATCGACTCGCCATTGTTTTCCATACAGAAGGCCCTGACTAAGGACCAACAAAAGAGACTTCCTTATGCTCCTGATGCTCTGGAGGGAGCAAGAGATGTTTCGACTCCCTTCGGCAACGTAAGGGTATATGAATGGGGACCAGAAGAGGGCAAGAAAGTCTTGCTAGTGCATGGGATTAGTACGCCATGTATAGCCCTGGGAGGACTGGCAGAGGAGCTGGCAAAGAAAGGTTGTCGAGTAATGTTGTTTGGTAAGTGATATCTTCACTCCATTCCCAACGTCCCGAGCCCCAGATCCCAGACAACAAGAAAAACATGTCAAGAGACGGCAATATTGTTTACACACCCACAAGACTCTTCACATACAATGATACGACTACAAGCACGATGTTTCCCGAGGTTGGAATGTCATGGAAGCAATTCATCGATATTTATAATGTGAATATACAGTTGAACAGGGTTATACTATCAACATGTATGACATGGTCGTTGCCACAGATGGCTTCGTCCTCGGATACACCATACCATATGCACACTGTTGTTGAATGACCAAAGCAACACACAGCTGACAACCTGACATCCAGATCTATTCGGCCGCGGGTTCTCATCAGCTCCTGATCCTTCCGCCTAGCCTCAAGACATTCAGCTCTTCACCACTCAAATCTTACTAGTCCTCTCCTCATCTCCCTTGAGCTGGACTGGAGATGGCAATCGATTTGGCCTAATCGGTTACTCATTGGGTGGAGGAATAGCTGCATCTTTTACCTCCTACTTCCCAAACCTGGTCGAGTCTCTTGTGCTCATCGCACCAGCAGGACTCATGCGACCCACCCGTATCCATTGGACCAGCAAGTTCCTCTACGGTGGATTTCTTCCTCGCAGGCTAGTCGAATATCTGGTATGGAAGCGACTCGGCGGCAGCAGTAACACTCCAATATCTTCTCAAACCATCAAAGACAGCGCCAAGGTCACCGCCACCCAGGCAGCAGAAGAGGAGATGCCACCCCATCCAGCGCTCGCTGCCGACTCTTCAGCTCAGATCTCCACCCGCAGACCTTCCGTCAGTATAGCAGACGTCGTGTCCTGGCAACTCACCCACCATGCCGGTTTCGTCGCCTCGTTTGTCTCAAGCATCCAACACGCACCCATAAGTGGCCAACACTCATCCTGGAAAGCCATTGCAGATGCACAAGAATCCCTTCCCACGACTCAATGTCTGCTCGAAGGCAAAGTGTTGCTACTGCTAGGCAAAGACGATACCATAGTCGTTGCAGACGAAATGTGCCAAGATGCAAAGCAAGCGCTGGGCCATGCGGTCGACATCCGTATCCTAGACGGTGGCCACGAAGTCCCCGTCACCGATGCCGATATCGTCGCTCAGACCATTCTAGACTTNTTGGAACCAACAAGTCGCATGACGAGCAGCGGTGAGAATGGAAGAGGCAAAGCACAGAAGAAAAAAACTTTGCCGTATGTCGACCTTGCTGTAGAGAGGCTGTTGTGTTGCTGGAATATGCTGGAACATGGCGGGTCTGTTGCATGATCTAGATTTATAACTTCTGTTTCTCGATGCAAGGTCTGGCTCTGTCCGTGTTCGTGAACCGGATACACGTACTTTGAGTGTTACCGACATGTGATAGTAGGACAGACCCACGATTTTAAGCGTGCGTGCATGTCCTGTCGTGTATCTGTCATCCGTCCAACCCGCATGCCGCATTGCTTGTTGAGGATGGCGAAACATTCCCACCAGGTTACATGAAGCAAGGGGGAAAACAAACTACAGCCGGCACTAGACATCCGATGCACGTTGCTATCTATCATGGTCGAAGTCACACAAGAAAGAATTTTTTGTTTTGAGAGAAAGATTTTTTTGGTATCCGAAACACATCTGCTTTTTGTGTTATGAAGCCTCTTGGCTATGGCTGGGTATGGAGGAAATGAGAGAACGAAAAAAGAAAAAAAAAAGACAGACAAAGTGGTATCCCCTTTTCTCCAAAAGATTTGCAATTTGGTATGCTCAAGCCTCAATGTGGGCCAAGAGGGGGGAAAAAGCAACAAGCACGAGTCGAAAGCAAGACTCGTCCAACAGCAACCACCTTCATCAAGCAACGTTTTTTCTACTCGGGGTTTTCTGAAATAGCAACCTGGCTTTGCATGTGTTTGCGGCCGTGATAAGTTATGCTCGAGGGAATAATGTGCAGATGCTGTCCACCAGATGATGATGGACGATGAGAAACGAAACGCTGAAAGCAAAAAGGAGTCATGTATGAGAGACGCTTGCAATGCAGTGATGAAAAGGCTCGAGGGTACGAAGAGACTGGCTGATACATGTTGTTACAACAGAAGAACATGGAGCGTCATGAGTGTGCACGAGGCAGTTTGAGCTCATTGTGACGGGTATGATGTCGGGTACGAGCTGTACTGGTATGGTGGATGACTCGGGGCAGAAGTCACGCTTGAGCATGCATGAAGACGGTGCATCAAGTTTTGGTTCACGTTGTAGCTCGAGTTGTCGTAGAAGTCCTTCTCCGGAGTTTCGGGAGGGGTGAGAACACCAATGGGGACTGCAGCATAGACGGGCTTTTGAGGAGTTTGAGGGGTCATCATGGCTCCTGGTACTTGTTGAACGTCCAAGGTAGACTGTGCTGGCGAAGGGTACGGTTGTTGCGACGCGGTCTGCTGCTGCTGCTGTTGTTGCATGAGGTTTTGGCGTTGCAAGAACTGCTCCAGGGTGGTGGCCACGTTGGAGAGGTGAGCGGACGAGTACTTGCGGAAGAGAGCCTGCGAAGGACGCGAGAGCTGGTTCGACAGGTCCATGACGACGTTGGAGTCATATCTGGCGGCCCACTCTGGGTGGTGTACCTGGGGACGACCAAGGACGTAACGTGAAAGAGCAAGCGACGACCTGGCCATGACCGAAGGCAACACGGGGACGAAGTCCTTGTGGTAAAGAGCCATCTCGGAGATGTATGTAGCCATGTTCTGCACCTCGGCATCGGCTGCTGTTTCGGAAAGAGCGATGTCGAGGAAGCCAGTCACGGTTGGATGGCCGATGATCCAGTTCAAGGTTTGCAAGACGTGCCACTCCATCTGTGTGAACATGTCGTCGTCGTACAGCGAGCAGCACATGGACTTGAGCTCCTTGATGGTGGGCACACGCTCCTTGCGGTCGCCGTACTTGGCGGCAATGAGTAGCGAGGCACATCCGACCAGCTGGTAATGACGCTTGTAGACGACACGCTTCGAGCAGTATCTGTCAAGAAGGTTGACGGCGAGGAACAGAGTCTCGGGGAGCAGTTGGAAGGCGTGGTGAGCTTCGAGGAGGAAGTCTAGGAGGTAAGGACGCATGAACCACTGGATCTCGGTCTGGATCTCGATGGAGTTGATGTCCGGCATCGTCTCGGCNNCTATCAGGAATCAGTATATGCAACCAAGAAGTGACGAGCCACAAGATCTTACCTCCATGACCTCCATGTGGTCGAGCACATCGTTCAGGTACACCTCACTCGTCAGACGCGAGAGGTCGGCAGCCATGTGCCTTTGTTGGACCTTTGCGATTGCACGTGCTCTCTCACGCTCGGCAGCCGCTCTGGCAAAAATGCCGTCTGTGTCTTCGTAGCTCTCGACGAAGAAGGTGTCGCAGTAACCGTAGTTGGCCTGCACCGTTGGGGAAGCCATGTTGAGGATGTGAGGTTGACGGTAGAGGTTGGTCAATTCGCCAGAATTGACGGATGGAAATGTATTAATGAGTGAATGGTGTATGAACACTGGTTGCTTGAGTGTGGACACAGAAAAATGGACAGTGTTGGTGGTAATGCAATAGAAGGACTGTAATTAGTTGGATGAGGGCTGTTGTAGATGGTCCTAGAATGACTGGTCTGACTGCCTTTGAGGGACTCGAAAGATACAGGTAAAAGGAGTCTACAAGAGAGCCTAGATGAATTAGCACTGGAAGCGGAGAGGAGACGCGACTGTCCGAGCTGAGTATTGCACATACCTTGGGAAATGGGTGGCAGCGAGGCAAAATGCAGAGAAGTGAACCCCTTGCGAATTAAGGCTCGGATGTCGACTGGAAATCGGAATGCCGTAGATGGTGCTTGCCCGATCTTACAGGCGTAGAGAACGAATCAACGACTCTACCAATTCCAATGAGAGCGCGTCGACCTGGCTGGGCTTGTAAGGAGTTCGCAGATAGGTCTGGGGAATGTCAGTCATTTCCGGGTCAATGATGGAAGGCACGTGCGCTGCAAGGGGCGGAAATGTGGTGATGGATCATGGAAAGAACTTACCAGAGAGAGCTGGTCTTCAAGAGAGTGACTTGAAAAGGCGAGTCAAATCAAAGATTGTTTGCTGAAAGAGCTGTGATGTTTCAGAATTAGTGAATGCAGCTTCAAAAGTACGCCGGTCCTAACTCAGGATGCCAGAGATACAGGTGACGGCAAGCCGACTTCCGAGGATAGACCGGAAGGATAGGGAAGGAGCCATTTGGGAATGAGACACGACCTCAAACCAGGCCTACGTTCAAGAATGCGAGCGCGATCGCTTCTGGAAGTGTCCATGCCTTGACGGCGATGGAACGCAAAGACCCCGCTCAGTACCTGTGTCGATGCAACACTGTTGAAGTGTTGTATAATATGCCAGTGCTCCATTGTATAAAATGGTATTGTTCCATGGTGATCATGATGGCGGTGCAAGAGGAAGCGGCAAGGTAGAGCCGCCAAGGTACTTCATATGACGGCTGTTGCTTGTGCTCTGCATACTCGAGACAGGCTTCATTGCTGACCATCAGCGAACACGGAGGGCATCATCGATATCAGCCAGCAGGAGCAGGGTCTTTTCTTCCATTCTGACGTGTTGGAATGTCGTTGTGCCCAGCAAGCCATCGTCGACATTTCGTCGTGCTCCTTCCTTGTCCTTCCAGTCTGGCCATATATTCATCTCTTCTCACCGACGACCACCACTCCTCATCAATGTTTCAGAATGATAGAGACCATGTCCTGTCGTATTAAGAGAAGGAGGCAGGCAGATGAGATGATAGGGGTACGAACGAACAGCTTGAGCAATGCTCACTCACCTAGGACTGATGAAGACTTTTCGTCGAGGTCGAAATGCGGTTGCAAGCTGGTGAGGCTGACGAGATGAGGTGAAGAGGCCGTCCACAGCTCTGCGTTCAACGAAGAGGAGAGGTCGGGGCGGCTTAGGTCGAGGGGTTAGGCGGCAACGACGGCGTGGTCGTGTCGAAGAGTTTGATGGGGGCCTGATGTCGATGGGTGGTGCTCGGGTGGTGAGAGTCGACGAGGCTTCAGGTCAGGTCGAGGTCGAGGGTTATACGACGAACGACTGGGGAGGGGCTGGAGGAGGGTAGGAGTAGGTATGAGAGGAAGCCGTTTGGGAGCGTTGACAGGTTATCAAAGCTCCATTGACTGGCTCAGAGGAGTAGGGTTTGGGGAGAGGCGGAGAGGGTGAGCGAGGGAGAAGGGAGAAGAAGAGTCGACAGCCTCGGACAGACGTCGTGTCCAGCGGTAGGACGTCGTCGGTACTGCCCTCTGCCTCCTGGTGGAGATGGCTCAGTCGGCCTGGTCTGTAAATCTTGGCTGAAGCCACTCTAGCCGCTAGCGTCGACCGTCCAAGCGTTGCTCCGTTGCCTTCTACATAAAATCTGAAGATCAAGCCGTTCCATACACGCACGCTTGTCAGGATACCGGCCTCTCAAACACTATCCTCCCCGATCGTCTGACTTGGGCACAACGCCCCTTACCACACTTTGCTCACTATGTACATGAACAAACACGCAGCTCGCTACGTTTAAGCCGCAGCAGCAAGCAAGCAAGCAAGCAAGCAAGCAAGCACTCATCCCAAACGTATCACATGAAATTGGGGCTGCTTAGCTCTAATCGTGAATCTCGGCTTGAGCAACCGCCCAACATGCGACATGCGACAGGTGCCTCCTCCTGACGAGGCCTGACGACAATCCCCAGCCAATCTTCCATCCTTCTGCAACCGTCACGAAACACTTGCTGTCGAGCTTCCGCTTCCTACGCGTTCAGTAGTGCAGGAACAAGCTTCGTTGGCGAGCACGAGATATCAGCTCCGCCCGGTCTGCCGGCTCCTTCACCAATCACTCGTTGTCCATCAGCGCCAATCTGCATCATTGAACTCCTTTATACCCCAGAACCTTGAAATCAACCGTCAATCTTCCTGCACCAGAACTGCACTGGAGTACTGTTTTAGAGTCCTGTCTCTCCCCCCCTGCCTGCCTGCTTGCCTACCAGCCCTCTGCCGCCCGTGTCCGATCATCCTCCAAGCAAGCATATGCAACCACTTTAACGCCGTTTGAAACTCTCCGTCAAATACGCGCTCCACCACCGCGCTCGAAACGCGTCCCACGCCTTGACTTTTATATCCAAATTTCATAATCTGCTTCGTACGTGCGCATCGCGCCCCTGAGTTACTCTATTCGAAGGCGATCGTTATTATGCTCGTAATGAGTGAATGATTGAAATTATGCCTGTACGCTGGCTCTACGGGAGCAATCAAATGCAATATCCAATATCATCCTCCAATAACAATCTCGTTAAAAGTCGTCCGTTGGATGAATCGAGAAGGTGTGTCACGCTCGGCGTTTTTCGGTCTTGGAGATAGCAAACATATCCAACTGCAATCCGAGCATCCGGCGGGTTGATTGTTTAGGTACAATAATGCAGATTTATATGGAGTATATGCAGACGACCGACGAGAATTTTCGATCTGGCGACTCGCACATCCTAAAGGAGTCAGTCCAAGTTCTCAACAACGCAGCGTCGGTGAGCCTTTCCTCCACAGGGTTACGCACAGATTCAAACTCTGCGCGGATCGTGTGGTTGTTATCATATCCTTGCCCGTTCTGCATGTCCTTTCCCTCGTCCTCCTCGTCGCCAATGCACGGTGGCTGTCGATTGACTCGGCGGAGCGAAGCCGTGGAAGCCGTACGACGAGGCTTCGCGAGTTATCACCACAGCCCGCAGCGTGCATGTCAAAGATGACATATCGCGCCGCCCGNTATATGTAGTTGCGTTGACTTACGCCCAGTCAGGCTGTCCTTGCTTTGAACTTTGATAGACGATCGTTCCACCANTCCAAAGCCTGCCATACATTCGCGAGGGACGACAGTTTTTTTTCTTTCGCTTCGCATGCATCCAGATTCTTGAGACTGCATATGCCGTCATACAAAGGCGCTGCCCGCACCACTCTGAGTGGAAGTTTTGGCCGACGCCTGTCTTCCACGTCCACCAGTTTCTCAAGCAACGAAGCTCTGCCGGCATCGCGTCTCAGCAAATCCAGCTTGGACATGATCCANCAACAAAAGAAGAAAGAATTAGGACTCACCAAAAAGCCACGCGACCATCAACAAACATCGAACAGGTTGCTACACCCGTTTCTCCATATTTTGTATTGTACCTGTACAAAAGTTCCTATGNNGATTTCTCCACAAAAGGCTAAACTAGATATGCTTACATTAGATCGGCATCATTTGAACAAGCCTCGATCATATTTATTAATACACCCCATACTCGAATTGAGCCTCCTACTACCCGTTTCACCAGTTATCCATCGTCTGTTTTGGAGTCGGATTTCCTCGACACTTCGAATTTCACATGCCTATTCGCAGATAGACCAAGATTGCTTTTTCTTTGGCTACTCNGTTCAACACATTCAACCATACACCATCTTCATCCTTTTCCCTCATCTTGCCGTCAGAAACATNCTCGTCGACCACGGCAACCAAGACTCGGGTCGCTTGGCGAGACTTTTACGCTGACTCCACACCACCGATCAACATGGATACCCGCCATCCGGTCAGAGGCTTTTCCAATAGTTTGAAGACATGCAGAGAGACTTGCGATGAGCAACAATGGTAAGTTCTGTCGCCATGCTTGCCCCGGATAATAAGTGTGTGTCTGAGCTCCGCTTGTAACGAGGGCTGCTACTGCTGCTGTGTATGTGCCCATATCAACCCTCGTGAGTTCTCCTCCTCGTTTCGTACCCACGCAACTAACGGAAAAGCGTTCCAATCTTCCCAGTCTCACACATGACAAGTCGACCGACTCGATAACCTGGTTCACATGTAACTCCACGGTACCTCTTTTCTCCACAAATTGTGCTTTCGCTGCCAGGATTCGAGAGTCAGCCCGTTTTTGATCTTGCCAGAAAGTCTAACGGCAGTACGCCCGCCATGCAGATTTTATGATTCGCACATGACATAACCGACCAAACGCGATACATGCGCGGTAAGACGCGATCCACTTTCGCCCAACCATGGAAATCGTCGTTCGATCTCCCATCTCCTGACTCCCTTAGCCCCAAGCCTTTGACGAAAGTCTGCGTGAGCGTTTTGGATTCAGCCCTCGGCCGAGACATACAAAGGAGGAGGAGTACCCGTGGTGCGTCTTTCTCCTCAGGAGACGCGGCAGATCGCGAAAGCTTCGCGTTGCAATCTCATTACATTTCCGCTTTTGGGCATATGAGTGCGGGAAATCGATTTGTGGAAGATGCACTTGTTGCTAGTCTTTTTGTTATATCGCATTGGGTCGCGTGCTACTCAAGACACGGCAGACTGTACACTCGCTATGATCTTGGTTGTAACGACGAGTATGTACGAGGCTTTCGATCAGCTGCTCTCAACTAAAGAAGGCTTTCTGCGCAGCTCGCTTCCAGCTGTGAGCAATAGCCGGCGTGGAGAACTGCCTTTCCACCACTTGAACGATACTCTAGGATATTTGGATTATCGTCAGGGAAGTTCTACGATCAATTTGTAGACGTTGTTTCAAAGTTTAGCTGGCAGAACGGAAGCGACTTCAATTCAAAAAAGCACAGCAGTCAGCTTGTGAAACTATTGACATATTGACCACCGAGGTTTATCACTTTGACGCACCCAAATTGTCGTACACCGCGGTCTCTGCTCCGAACCAGGCTCCCATCACATTGGGATCTCCAAAAGGCATGACTTGACTGGCAATCATACCGGCAACGCCCTTCTCACGATCCACCCACCAGAACAAGTTGGCAATGCCTGCCCAGAATGCGGTGTTCTTCCCACGACCCGTGACTCCAGGCTCAATGGTCAACATCGCGCTAAGGCACCAGCCNNCTATGATTGTTATTAGTATGTGGTCGAATCATGCAGTAACACACAAACGACATACCTGTGCGACATCACCCTGCGGGTACAAGTCTCCGAGCGGGTTCGTGTGTTCTGGCTTTGCGTCAGGGATGCCTCGGCGACCAAAGTCCGGCATCTGAGTAATCTGGTTCTCGAACATTTGCTCGACGGTCTCGGGCTTGAGGATCTGTTTGTTCGTCTTGGGACACGTGCCGTCGTTCAACAGGACGGCAAGCACTTTGATGTATTCTGTGGGACGAGAGAAGAGACCGGCACCACCGCTGCAGAGGATCTTGCTTTGTTCTTCTTTGCCTTCGGCAACCATTGGTCTGCGGTATACATGATCTCTTTCTGCAGCCTTCTGGGGGCTACCTGGCCAGCGTTGATGCATAGATGCCAGATTGGACTTCATTTCCTTGGTCGGGAACATGTTCGTATTGTGGATCCCAAGAGGCTGGAGGATATTCTGCTGCATGTACTCGTTCAAGGTCATGCCAGTCTGCCTTTCGAGTGCGATACCCGCCCAGTCGATGTTGATGCCGTACTCCCATCTGCTACCCGGCTGGTTGACCAGAGGCATCCTAAGAACCTCGGCTGGGTCACCACTGAAGACGTCGAAGCCAACAGGACGACCGTAGTCTCTCAGCTTGTTGTTGAAGAACTCGTATCCGAAACCTGCAGTCTGTGGCACTACTTAGCGAATGACTTGAGGATGTGGGACGAATAGCACACTTACATGTGACAAGAGCATCCTCAATGTAATCTCAGCCTCTTTGTCTTCCAATTTCCCATCGTCAGTCAACACTTGCACCTTCTCCAGCTCTGGACACAGCTTGTACAGCTGTTTGTGATCATCAAGGTCAAGCTTGCCCTGCTCGACCAACTGCATGACTGCAATTGCAGTGATCATCTTGGTGCAGCTCGCAATCCAGAACGTCGTTTCCAAGGTCATGGGCTCTTTGGTATCCAAACCACGGTTGCCGGATGCGTTGGCTGTTAAGATATCGCCATCTTTGTTGATTGCTGCAAAGACCAAGCCAGCTACTCCTGTCTCGGGGTTCGAGGTCACTCCGTCAAGAGTGGCTTGAACTGCCTTGTGCGTTGCATCAGACTTGGGTCTTATCTCGAACTGTGGGCTGTCTCTTCGGGACATAGCGTATTATTTCAATATGAGTGGTTGAATGACCAAGTGTGGGCTAGCAGGTTCAGATAGTAGATGTATGATGTATAGAGACAAGTACGGAGAATGAAATGAAGCACAAACCTGGGCCTATTGAATCCTCCTATAGTTTACCCCTCTTCAGGTGGGAACTCCAACCCCACGACCGAGGCTGACAGGGTCTTGCATGCTGTTGAGCCTACTCCGAGTACGTCGCTGCAAGTACTCCTGCAAGTCTTCAAAGAGCTCTGTAACCCCGCATGTTCTCCGCAGATGATCAAACTCTAAATCAAACAAGCTTTTACACGCGATCCCCGGATTCACACGTCCTTTGAACCGAGCATCTGGTTCGCTTTGAACAGTGACACTATCCTCAACCATGTGCTGTAGGCAGTAACTCCAAGGTGAAGATTTAGTCGTGACCTGGTGACTTTGAGTGAAATGGTCGTGTGCAGTATGCGTGTTGAGAACTGATCTTGTGTATGGCTTTCTAGACGCGTATGATTATGGCATGATTCGATACTGACTAGAAACACGTCAACTTGTTTTTGCCCGAGCTTGCTTGAATTTCCTGATTTCTTTCAACGCCGCCATCACCAGAGGTACAGCCATAGGACCAAGCAGGGGCACATATACGGCCACTTTGTGCTCGTCCGGGAAGTACACCTGGCCAACCATAGAAGGTTCGAAGAATGCTTGCTCGGCTTGAGCTTCAGCAATTCGCGCATGTTCCAAGGCAGCGTCGTAGTGACCTCCATGGAGATGAGAGCAAGCAGTCTCCAGATGGTGGATTGTTTNTTGCACCGAGTCGGCTACGTTGTCTGGAATGGCGATGCTGGTCAGCTTGAGTGTAAGCCTGGACAACGCTCCGAGAGTCGATGAGGCCGACAGGATCAACGATGCGGCCCTTTCGCGTGTCAAGCTGGAAAGACGAAGAGGTAGCGAAGGTGGTGATTGGGGCAGCCCGATGAGTGACTCTAGTTGCTCTGCAAAGATGCGCACGACCGGCTCGAGATCATGCTTGCTCAGGACAGTGTTATTCTGACCCGTCAACGGGTTCAAGATCTGGACTCCGCCCCATTGAGGGATCAGCCAACTGGTTCCGCCTGTTTCTTCGATCACCATAGGGGCTTGCTTAGGAGAAGGGACGTAAGCAACAAAGTTGATAGTCGGGCCTACACCGATGCTGGGACTGAGAGGCCACTCAGCTGCATTAATGAATGCACTCAGGTCAGAGCGCATTAGTGTCCATTGCTTGGATGCTTCATCGTATTGGGGACCGTGCAGAGAAGGTGACAAGGATGCGTAAAGCTGCACCTGAGTATCAACGCTGAACTTGCTGACGGACGAGAAAGAGGCCAAGAAAGGGCCCAGATACTCGTCGAGCGCTGCTTTGATATCCCATGCAGACGGTGATGCCGAGCCCGTGAACAGAGAAAATGTCAAGTGGTAAGTCGAAGCATACTTGAATGCACGATTAGATCTTCTTCGGTAGCCTTCGACGGTAGATAGAGAATTGACATCGCCCGAGGATCCGTGATGAGTAGTCTGACCAGTCAAGAGATAGTCGAGAGTGATTTGCTCTTCCGCGAAGAGCTTCAGAAGCTCAGTCGCAACGAAGTCAGCAAGGTCAGACACACCGGTGGACTGAGCTGACGGCAATGACCCATGGTAGATGCTCAGAGTAGGATCAAAGGGCTGGACCTTGGCCACTGGACCAGAGTAAGAGTCATCAAGCACGAGGTTGACAGTGACAGCCGAGGACGTCGGATGGTCAGTATATTGCGCATCTGCTGACTGATCTGCAGTACTGTGCCTCGGAGTGACTACTCGTAAGCGGTGAACAGGGGACTTGTTCTGCTTGTCCAAGCCCTGCTGGACTTGGTGAGCAAGCTCGGTGGTGGTCGCAGTGTCAAGATGGGCAGCAGAAAGAGCAACGTGCACAGGAAACTCGAGTTTACATGTNNCTTTTCTATGTTCAGTGGATATCATGGAATTTAGCGGAAGGGCGAGGCATACCTGACCTGAGGCCCACGCATCCATCGACTCCAAGGGCAGTGCAGCGCGGGGAACAGTGGTCGTGGCGTACCAAATAGGCAGGCCGAGCAGGCCGGCGATAGCCCAGAAACAGAAGATGATCCATCGACGTGTCTTGACGCCCTGCGGAGACTCTGGCGGCGGTTGTTTTCTGGCCAAAGCAGCATGAACAATGCCTTCAGCCGCGGGAGTGCCTTTGGCAGCACCGCCAGCTTGCTGAGAGTCCATCTTGCTACTTCTTGAGCGCAACAAACACTGGACGACTGCTTGCGAAAGGAGGAGTTCGATAGTGAGCTCGAGGGGGCTCTTGGCAATGCGGACCTCGGACGGTGGATAGCAGATTATGATTGGCGCGCCGGTGCGCCACACAACAGGACAAGTTGGGGCTGAGCCGGCGAGGTGGTGCATGTACAGGCAGGTACGGACCCAAGCCGCGCGTGTTCTCGCTTGCTTGCATCTATTCTGGGTCTGCTCTTCATGTGTGCTGGCCGCAGACCGAGAGAGTCTTGTGTTTACTCTCTCACCGTCTGTCTGTTTGACACAACAACACAGTGTCCACCAAACCCATCCATACCATCGATCCGGCACACGTCGCGTGTCGAGAGTTGCATGTTCCGCGGCCGTTGTGACACTTCGCCATCTCCCAGCGTCATCGTTATTCACGTCCCCCGTCTACAAGTCCGTGCGGCGTGTTGGGGCTGGTCTTGAGGACTCTTCACGCAACTTCTTATAGTCGTTGCTTGCCAGCCTTTCCGGCATGCTGCGCTCATTATCAGACATGGTCGCCATGGCCAAGCGCGCCCTCAAGCCGACCGACGCTTCCGAGAAGACCAAAGCTGCTATTGTTTGTCTAAGTCCGAGTATGTCTGTTAATGCCGCATCCAGCTGACAAGGCACANNGGTTGTTGGTAGTGTCGGCGCCGCTCTGCTCTTCGCCATCATTCTCTTCTTCATTCTTCGAAGTATCCGCCTACCCAAGAACATTCGGCAGCAACAAGCTGCAGCCCGCGCTCATGCGAGAGCTCANAACCCCCGTCGTTCATGGGTACAGACCATTCTGTCGCCTTTCCGTCGAAATGCCACACCATCTACCACCACCGCCGCTCGAGAGATGACCCAAGACCCCGAGGCCGCAGTCAACAGGCATACGAGCATCCGTAGTATTGCCACGCTCCCCGCCTACTCTGCTGTGCCACACGAGAACGAAGGTGTCCTTGGTCGCGAAGGTGAAAGAGCAGGCATGGACACTGTGGTAGAGTTTCCTGAAACCAACGAAGAGGAAGAAGGCAGAAGAGAAGCTGAGATGGAGTCGCTCTGGCAAATCCGCCAGGCACGCAGACAGGAGGCTGCTGAGAGAGAAGACCGTAGGCGCCGTCGCCGCGAAGCACGTGCTCGAGGTGACTTGGAGGCACTCAACGCTTTGCGACATGAGACGGCTCTCCGCGTCACCTTGGAGCGTGCCAACGGTTCGAACACGATGGTCGCCGAGCACAACGCCAGGCCGCGAGAGAGAAGAATCAGTGCAGTCTCGTATGGTGACTTGGGCGTTGCTCGCCATGATGGCTCGCGTGTGCGCGCAAACTCTACAGAGTCTGATAGCCGCCCGTTGCTAAACGATGCCTCTCGTGCAGGTACTGCCAACCCTCTCAGACCCTGGCTGTCTCGCGGTTCCTTCTCGACCCACCATCGCATGGCCTCGGCCACCTCGGTGCTCACTACTGACAGCGCGGATCCGGATGACAGCGACTTTGAGGTCATCTCTCTGCAACATACTTCCTCTCGCCCACGCTCGTCGCGAGCTCATTCTCGGGCCCAGTCGATCAACTTGAGTCTTCGTAGAACTTCGACTACACAAGTTCACCAGCTTCCACGGGTTGACGGCGATCTTGGTGAGAGCCGAATTCCTCTTCCCGAGCTACCACAATACGACACTATGGGCTTTGAAGAAGCCCCTCCTTACGAGGAGATTCACTCTTCGAGGCCATCACTCTCGAGGGCTAACAGCCAAACACGAAGAAGCGAGAACAGCAGTCCGCTGTCCTCTCTGCCCGAAATCGTCCGTCTTCCCAGCATTCGCATCAATGAAGCATCTCCGGCCGAGTCTCCTCGCCAGTTCAACTTTCCGGCGAACGCCAGGCCCATGACGGCCTCCACGATCGATGAAGAAACGTCCAACTAACATATCACGACCTCTCCCCTTATGCTCATCATGTTTTCCTATCTGTTCCGTATACGAATTGCATGACCTCTTTTTTTCGGGTTGTTTATGCAGAGATTGTCGAAGAATTGCATTCATCGCATTCGCTTAGCGCTGGCGTTAGGTGGAAGGAAGTCGGGCCACCCAAAAGTTGATACCATGACACATACTACCATTTCTTTTCCTCACAATATTTATTCTACTCGTGAATTCAAGTGTTTGTTCGGGTTCTGATGAGTGACTTTTCGTGTGCCAAAGATAGTCACAGCATAGGATCGGCTGGAGGTAGTATCTAAGCAGAACATGTCGCCCAACCACCGCCATTGCGTGCAAAAGATAAGCTATCGACAAAATCACCAAGTGTGCATCTTCCCAAAAGGTCCGCACCACACGTATGCAGAGGAATGACGCGGTCGTTGACAATGACTCTGACCAACTCCTCTCTATGTCCAAGACATTGCAGCTTCTCAATGTAAGCTCTGGCAGCGAATGGAACAGTGTACGCTGCCGAGTATCCATTGGTCTGCTGTGCTGTCTCGAGTGTCGTGTTCGAGAGGGCAGAGGTGCTGTTGTAGAGACCCATTGCAAAGAAGATGGCAGTCATGTCATTGTCGTGACTAAAGTCTGCATACAACGCACGGTCGAGGGGAAAAGTCGTGGCATTGCTGTCCAGAGTACGGTTGGTCGATGTATTGTCTACGACTGGCTTCTTTGTAAGACGGGCAATGAGCTCATTTGTAAAGCCGACACCTTGAGTGCGTCCGAGAGGGTTTCCAGCTCCGTAACCGTAAAATTTGTTCAGGGATTCGTAGTATCCATAATCTTGCCACTCCGTTTCCGTAAACAGCGAGCAGAATGGCGAGATTGCACCCGTGGCCGAAGCAACAGTGTTGAAGGGACACAAATCCATCAGATAGATGATCTCTGTCAATGTGAGGTTTGCTCCAGCAAGATCGGCGTTGATCCTCTTCTGGATGGCAGGAACGAAAACGTTTGTCCAAGTTTNTTGAGCGGAGTCAGCGATGTTCGAATCAGGTCCATCTTCGAAGCTGGTGCATAGATCATGGTTTAGGGTGTTGTTGCTGCCGGCAGCCTCACTAATGACCACATCGACAGAAGGGTATTGTTTGTTGGCCCACCAGTCTGCAGTTTTGGTCTGCGTGAATCCATCCACCCACTTTTCTGCAGACTCTACAACACGAGCCTCACCAGACGAGCGAACAAAGGNGACTGCCTTGCGAGCAAGGTCAGCGTAACGCTGGTAGTACTTTATGCCAGAGTTCTCCATTTGTTGCCTTCCAAAGTCGGTCAATTGGTCTGCGCCGAGAGTATACTCGTAGTCATCAAGAAAAGCATATTTGCCAGTGAAATTGGCTACATTCTTCTTGATCTTGGTGATGGTCGCATTGTATTTTGCAGTCTTGGAAGCCGTGGGATCTCTAGCCCCATGTCTCGACAGAATTTGTGCAAACGTGACCGAGCATGTGAGAGGGGTGTTTGCAGGAATCTCTGATGGGACGGAGAAGTATGGAGAGTATTGGCCCCAGTAGTGGCTGATTTGAGGTTGGCACTGGTAGCCATTCTGAACATTATCGCATGTCTGAGGGTTCGGGACCGGAACAATGTGGCCCGAGGAGCTATTTAGGTATGAGTACTCTAACTTTCTGACGATTGGGAAAATATCAAAATACCTTGAGATAACGCCCAAAGCGAGAAGACTTGCTGCAGCCAGAGCCATGGTGTAAAGTACAAAGCGTGAGATACACCTTCTTCTAGCCCCGTTCTCGAGGCCACCGAGACCTTTATAACTCTTTGTTGCTACCCATCTAGGGAGCACGTGGGTGATTTGGTTCGCCATATCCGTAGGGCGAAGTGGACTTTGGCGATACCGAGGGGCTTGCCCTCAACCCTAGCCAGGTGCAGTTGTGAAGGTCTCCGAGGCATATCAATACGGCATATCGAGGTGGACGATGGCGGTGCTGAGTGAAACAGTCAAGTACCATCGTGGAATCTGACCACGTGCAGATGCACAGACCGCATGTGTCCTCGTCAGGATTGATGTTCTTAACCGACCTGCAGACGCGGTGAAGTCAATTGGAAATAAGGGTAGATTGGACCTCCCACGTGTACGATAGACAGTCACAGTGTAGTTAAAGATTACACAACTTGTGTGGTAGAGCGATGTTTACGGAGAGAAGGTTGTGCTTAGGCATTTCTATGGTGACGCCCTTGTTTTGGTACTCAATCGTGCATTTGTATAGCTTATAATGGTATAACAGGTTAGTAAGGGGAAGGGGCCAATTATTATGGGCTGTGGCTGTCCCTTGCCTAGGGGGAGGTAGAACTATACACATAACAAGAATGTCTTACGGCACGATTGATAATAGATTTCCACGTTTGTTCGTAGGATGTGAATAGCGGTCGGCGACAATAAGGGCAGGGTGACTGAGGGGCAGCTGCAGCTTTCACCAAGACACGACCATCATCAGCATCGCGACCTAGTCGCGATAATTACTCATCCCTTACTCACACCCACGCTCGTACCCCCGTCGCTCTGAATTATATCAGCAACTTCGTCAGCAAACCATCCATTAGCCACACCCAAGACACAGACAGCGACACCATGACTACTCCAGAGGCGTCAACATCGTCACCACCGCCCATTTCACTGCCCTCATCCTCCCAAATCCCAGGGCTTGACCTGCTGTCGGCTGCGCAGTTCGATGCCCAAGTTGCAGCCAGACGAGCAGCTTCATCGCCGAACACACCCGCCAGCAAGCGTCCCAAACTCGACACGCCGGGCTCTTCTTCGTCAACAGCTCCGCGCACCCTCCTTCCTTCCAAACCTCGTGGTGACTCTGCAGCCAAAGTCAACGATATGTGTCAGATCCGCCAGTTGCGCACCGACTATGATTTCGAAGAAGGGCCCCGTATGCCTTCTCAGCCACTCTCCGTCTGCTAGATGGTGATCAAGAAATCCAGAGCTTCGAAGCGCTAGGCACCTTTGGAAGCAAGAAGGCGGCCAAAGAGAAAGCTGCCGAGATGGCTGTGACTTGGCTGGAGAGGCAGCCTGTTCCGAAGAAGGGTCAGAAAGATGCAACACTCCTGCCACTCGCTGCTACAAAGGTTGACCCTTCTGAGAATTGGGTTGGTATATTGCATGGTAGGTCCATCTGCTTCTTCATGTGCCTGCTCGTTTTGTGATATTCGGCCACACAGATGTGTCCTACGTCAGGCGTGATCAATCTCCCGAAACGTTTCTGACCGCCCGCATACCGGCTTCGTCGATGCATGTTGCGAAGTCACAGTGCATTGTGTACAAGAGTCTGCCAGTGACAGCGCTACTGGTATCAACTACCGGCACGCACTCACAAGATGCAACTCTCCGAACTTTGACATGCGACGTGCAACTGGAAGTCTGGCATACAGGCTGGAGAGAACGTCAAGCAAGGTTGGACTTGTCTGGCGTGGGCAACAGTTGCTCCTCCACGATCATGCTTTGCTCGGGGCCAGATAATACAATGCACACAGTCAGTCTGACAAGAAGTGTGCTCGCCGAGAGCCTCTTTTTCACCGAGGATGAGCTTCAACGAAGCGCTCGTCTCTACTAGACTTGGTGCATTGTTTTACATGTCCACGAGCCGAGCATGGTCGTGGAAGAAGTATAGCGTGCACCATTTTCAGTGTTCTTTGCCTCATGACCTGTCTCGTTCTCGCCGGCCACATCTTTCCATCCTCCTCCATCATACCTGCCTTCTCTGACAACAGCACAGAATTCTGTCAAGGACGCGGCATCGATCAACCCGAGTACTCCATCTACGAACTCGGCCCCCAACGCTTCGGCGCGACCTGCACCATCCTCAGTCAAACGCACCACGACCAGAACGCCGCCTTCTCAAGTAAAAAGGTTGCAAAGACATCCGCTGCTCGTGCTGCCGTCTTGGCCTTGCGCGAGGAAGGCGTGTTGATCAAACACTCCGCGCACGCCCGTTCTCAAGTCGCTCCTACCGTTCCAGCCTTTGGCACGCCTTTGCCTCCCGCCGTCGCTCCTGTCGTTCCTGTTGTCGCTAGCACGCCGAAAGTACAGCCAACCCCATCACCACCCTCGGCATCCTCGCTCGTACCTACCCTCTGCACTGAACTCAACATTGCGCCCCCGACCTACAAGCTAGTCCAAACGTCGTCTTTGACTCCAGACTTTTGGGACGGCGAGGCTCGCTTCGATCATGCTGTTGAGCCTTGCCTTCGCGGTGCCGTGGGAAGAGTTGAGAGGGTGTATGGGAAGAAGAATGCAAAGGACAAGATTGTACAGCAAGTGCTGGAGGTTCTTGAGGAGGTCAAGCAGCAGAGGATGGCTGGTTGAATTACATGGTCCTCAAGTGGAGAAAATCCTTTCCAGACATTGATATATATATATACTATTGAAGATGAAATTCAGACTCGCTCAATCATCCATTACCTCAATATCAAGGTATAAACAGCGATACTAGACAACAAAGGGTAAAAAGAGACAGTGGACAGAGTCAACTCATGATCAGTCTCTCCCCACATAACATCAAACAGTAGCTTAGTATACCACGAAGATATACAATATGTATTGTATCAGACCTATCTGCCATAGTTAGCACTCCAATGATATATCTCCTTGGATAGTCACCTCAATTTCACAAACCATGCTGTATCTTCAGAGCGTGCCATTACACTCTTTTACCAAAGCAAGAAAGAGAAGGCCACTTGTGTCTTGATGAGGAACGAGTAATACTTTACAAAACAATCAAAACAAACATTGCAAAAACACACACCTTCCCAAAACAAAATCACAACTCTGCAGAGCTTTGGCAAAAACCTCCTACTGCCTGCAAAGTTTTCTATCTTTTGCAGGAGAGATGAAATGCTTGGACGCTTCTGCTACTTCCGAAGATCAAACCAAGGACCTTTAGGGGGTTCATCGCTGGACAGAGTACCGTCTGGTCTATTGTGCCGTTCTCTCGGTCGCTGAGGGGAGAGGAATTGAGTTAGGATATCGAGCGTGAATGGTTGAGAGGTAGGTGAATGGAAGATATGTTATCTGGATGGCAGAGTGGCTTTTTTGCTGGAAAAAGTGCGTACATGCATCAGAGTATGAGTGGATGAATGTGCAATCAACACAGTACAGAATGAGAAAATGTCGACAGGTAAGTAGAAAGAGAGCAGGGACGATTCACGCAACGCTAGGCCACATACACTTTTCTGATCAAGATATTTTACACGGACATGAGGAACATATGGATGTGCTTTGATTTCCTACTTTTAAAGAAATCCAATCATCCTGCCAAGACTGCAGATATCCTATCCTTCAACGCAAAACCAATGCTTGCTCTGTAGAATCGGAAGTCGAGCCGTCTTCCGTCTCCTATTCGTGATCCTCCTCCTGACCCTCGCTCTCGGACTTGTCGCTGCCATCATTACAGCCGTCGAAAGCATCCTGGCGCAATGCCCTACCTTCAAACAGATGACCCATGTGTGTCTGAGCAAACGCCTTGCCGCCTCTGCGTAGCGAGCAGACTTCCTTCAAGAATGGCAAGGGCGATGCAAAGAAAGGACAAGTCTCAGGCCAACCGAGAGCTTCGCGGATCCCTTCGTCCACGTAACCATCGCTGTTGACTGCAAAGTCTCCGCCACGACGCGACTGCGAGACCAGGCCCAGGAAGCAGCGGAGAGAGTCGTAGATGGCTGCGGTTTCCAAGTAGAGCGAACCTGCGAAGAGATTGAGGTTGCGGACGACGGTAGCAGAGCAGGAGGCGCCATTTGAAGTTGCACCAATAGTGTAAAAGTTCATGTCGTTGAAAGACACCATTGCCTTGTTGAGTCGAGGTGCGAAGGTGTGCAAGCGGACCTTGCTAGAGGTTCTGATACTGGGCATGAGCTCGTCAGCTTCGTGCTGGCTGATGACCAAGAGTTTGTCGTGTTCGGAGCTGCTCAATACCCAGTTGACAGGTCTGAGATAGTCATCAAGCGGATGTTTGTCTGTCAAGGTTACGGTGCGTGGATAGTCATGGCTGACATACAAGTCGACGAAATGCGTTACTCTGATTTGTTGTTTCTTCATAGCCTCATGAGCGCTCGTGCCGCTGAAGATTGTAAAGGCATGCTTCACTGCGCTGTTGTTGAAGGCTGCGTCTGTACCGGTTTCGATGTAGTGAGCCAGTCCCTTGCTCACGTTGGGCTTACATGCTTTAGCTGCCCTAGGTCTTTCGACTTGTCGTTGTCTCTCAATTTCATGAGCGAGCTCGCGCTCTTGCTCGTTGTCTACAGTGCAGTCCTCCAAACGAGTCTTGTTCATCGACTCATATTCTGCAACAAGGTGTTGCATAGTCGAATTCGTAGACTTGCGATCAAGGAGGCGCTTGAAGGCACCGATACGTTCCTCGTGCACACCGTAGAGAAGCTCCAAGCTACGCGACTCGTCTTCCTGTATCTCTTGCCAGAAACGCTGAACTTGGTAGTCGTCGCTGATGAGCTTGCTGGACGTAGAAGCCGCAGGGAGAAGCTTGTGCAGGACTTTTCGTTGACGCACGTGCTCAAGACCATGCATTGCTCGTAAAGGTCGAGCAATATCCAGAGACTGGCAAGTCTGTTCCATGCACCAAGCTAAGACGTCGAAGGAAGTTAGCTCGTCAGAATCCTCGCAGCCCTTGAGGTCGCAAATACTTCTGTGTACTTCAGTGGGCGATATGAAGCACAGAGAATGGCCATCACCGAGATTCCTGAGGCGCATGCAAGCTAGGAAAAAAGTCAGCCGATGATCGAAGGGAGTGGATTTATGATTGAACATACCTTGCGCAAGACGGTCCTTCACAAGCCGAGGACCTAGTGTGACCGCCGCATGAGCGCCCATAGGGATGGCCAAATCAATGCCACGAGTGTGTACTTCGTCGATGTAGAACAAGCAATCGTCAAGCTTGCCCGACAGTGGAGAAATTCTGAGGGGAGTGGTGGCACCGCTGCGATCTAAAACCATGGCTTCGTCTCGATCATCGAAGTAGACAGCCGCCTTTGCATCGGTCCTGTACTGGAGCCATCTCTGTACGAGCTGGAGGTTTGTAGCTTCCAAAACTTGAGCGCCCACGTCAATCAACACATTGATCATAGGGCTCTGCTTCGATACAAGCGAGAGCAGTTCTTCGACCGATAGCTTCTTGCCATTCTCGCTAGCGCCATGAATGTAGTTCTGGTTTTCCTTTCGGAGAATGAGGTCTAGTACCATGGCGTTTGTGTGTAACAACTCATCAAGATCCTGCTGCTGGATGGAATGCGGCAGAATGACACGACTGTCGTTGGTTCCGCTGAATCCAGTTGTAAGAAGCTTCGATGAACTTGAAGGAGAGGGAATGTCCCATCCAGAGGCCGACAATCGTTTAGCAAACTCCTTGCCCTCCTTTGGGAAGACCACCTGGTTGAGATAGAAGTCGATAGTCTCCAAGTTGAACTGCAGACTGGGGAACACAGACTCCCTACATAGCACTTGATCGTCAATGTTGATGGCATCTAGCGAGGAGAGGGTTTGAGACAGGTTGCCTGACAATGCCCAACCTCTGTAGATATCCTGAGCGTTCGTGTCTTTGAGCAGAATCTTGAAACAGTCCTCGACTTGGGTCATGCTTAGACCAGTGTAGTAATAACTCAAGCAGGTAAGAAGAACTGCAACGTCAGGATGACCAAACTCGGAATTCTGAGTCGGAATACCTTTGGCTCGATATGGCACGGCCATCAAGCAGCGCTCTAAATCCAGGCCATACTCAACAAGCCATCTTTTCTTCTGGAGTACGAAAGAGAGAAGGTCGTGGGCAAAGAATCCTCTGAAAATCAAGATGGCAACCCAGTGCCCGGTCTTGACACACTCGCGTTTGATGATCGAAAGATCATGCTCGGTCACGTCGCGCAATCGGATGAAGTTACGGATGGCGTCTCTGGTCGTATTGGAGAAGTAGTCGAACGAGACACCTGCCAGTCGGCCCTCAATGGCATCGCTGACAAGAGATTCAAGTAGTTCATCGAAGATTCGTGGCTTGAGGATCTTGATGGCCGGAAAAGACTTGCCATTCAGGTCTGCATGCACGTTCAGAGGGTATTGCTCTGAAAGACCGATCACACGAGCCTTGACTTGTCGAAGGACGCCTTGAGCTATCTGCCAGCGGTCGTTCTTACCATCAAGCATGTGCTGACTACCAACAGGGTAGATGAGTTGAGACTTGATGCCAAGAATCTCATCGCTCTCATCGATAATGTCACGACAGACAGTTCCCAAAGAGCGCTGAAGATCCAGGATTCTTGCGGCCAATGCCTTGTCAGAAATCATCTTCTCTCTAGTCATCAGTTTCATGGAGAGGATTTCTTCAGGCAGGACAATCATGACTCCTCGACTCCTGCGGTAATCTTCCACGACTTCAGAAATACCACCGATGGTCTCACTGCTAATCGTGGTCTTTCGAGAGAAAGGAATGTGACAAATGCGATGTCCTAGAAGTCCGCCTAGACGTTGCGAGAGAACTTGCTCTGTTTGACGCAATAGAGGCTTGAGAACAACGATGCGAATCAGGCGAGCCCCATCAGCAAGAGCGGTAGCCAACATCGGCACAATGACAGAAGATTTGCCCTCCCNCATGTTGAGCTGCATGACTGAATTAGATTCTGACCGCGGAGACATCATCTCCTTTGCAACTTTGGCTTGAAGAGGACGAATGGTAATGTTGTTCTCGACTTCAAGTAGTAGCCAGCTAGGATGTGTTTCCGCGGACCAGCCCTCTCTACCTGGTGTTCGAAGCTCCTTGAGAAGATTCCTGTAACTTTGCTTCTTGTGGAGTGCGAGCATACGTTCAGCGCGCTGCAAAGAAGCGATGCTTTCAGCCAAGAACAATAGCACAGTCTTCCAGGATGATCCAAGACTGGAGATTTTAGCGGCAGAGAGATGGCGCAGAAGACTTCCCTCAGAGCATCGCGGCCACAGGCCGGCGGAGAATAACATAGTCTCGGCACTTGTGCTGGGTGCCAAAGTACCGCGGACGTGCTGTAGAATGTCTCCAACCAATTTTGACAAGGCAGTATGATACATCTCAAAGTCTCGGCTGCTGAGACACAAGCTCTGGTCATCCGATTCTACCTTGTGAGCCCTCAAGGCGTCCAAGCTTGAACGCAAGGTTGAGGCATAGTCTCTGTGCGTGGAGCTTTGCCGAGCAGAGAGTGTGTCAGCAAGGCGCGTCAAGGAGGCATCGTTCTTGGAATGCACTGACACTGATGCAGGTTGAAGCATCAACGGAGATGCTGCAACGCAGGTCTGGAATATGTCTGCAGGGGATGCTCTCCCGTGCTGTGATAGAAGTCTGT